TTTCAATGTTCAACTCATTCTAAAACCAGGCACAAGACTCACCAATGTCTTATCAACAATGAAATTTCACTTAGATTCCAATACCGATATCAAATTCAACAAAATACACGACAACAATTTTATAAAATGCAAGAGACTTAATAGGAATATATGCACAAACATAACAAGTCGCTACACAAAACAAGAACAATACCAAAAAGAAAACATGTTTTAATTCCCCTTTGAAGGGGTATAAGACATGAGTAGATAGACAGCGCTATATACATGTAAGCAACAACGCACTGATTTCTGTTGTTGAGATTCTTTACCATACGCGCTCAAATCACCACGTCCAATTTCCCCACCACAAAATGTCCCCGCAAGTGTCGCACCAGGGAAATTGTTTAAAAACGGTGAGCTGTCAATATTCGGTTTCCCAAAAAACGACTCACCCCGACCACAACATGTGAATACAAGACCACCATACACTTCCTTTTTATCGCCTCTACTCGTGCTCCCTTGTTTAAAACATTTTAAATTGTTGGAGACATCCGTGTTTGTAGTTAACGCAGTGTTGGAATCTGAGTGGTAAAAGCGAAATAAATCCCCTGTTTTTATGCCCACGTCACCAACAAAGAGATACTCCTGGTTGTCCCTGTATGGATAACGTGATTGAATGAGTAACCATGTTTTTTTTTGGTGGGTCCCATAGGTTACTATCTTACCCTAGAACTTCATGGAATGCAAGTGAAGTAACCCATCCCACTTTATCCTGCCCAATTGAGCATTTTCTTCGTTTTGTTACCCCAATGTAGAAAGTAGGAAACTGAATTCGTTCTCCTAGCTGTCATAAATTATAAACAGATGAAATGAGATATAGAAAAAAAAGAGAATTTGGAGACAAAAAGTCAAAAACAATGCATTATATTTATTAAATAAGGGTAAAGAAGAATTTGAACATACTTCATCATAAACTTGATTCAAAATAGTTTCACCATCGATATTTTCACGCAACCCTTCTCTTCTTGCAGTGAGCCAAGTCATAGAATCACGGTGTTTCTCTCTAACAGATGCCGCCTTGTATGTGGGGCCCACAGGTGACAAACCGCTTGATAATACAGAATTGAAATGGGTTTCTACAGTGCCTGTTCGAAAATATTTTAAAATAAATAAAATTTTAATACAATAATCAAATCACGCATGAAAATTGAAAACCAGAAGATGTGATTTTGGAGTTACCATGACGTTTGTTCTTGTCCACTGCAAATACCAATGCAACAGCTGTAGACACGTGTCCTTCTGTGGTGCTTGTGTCCCTTGAACTTCCATTGTTGTGTAGAAACTGGCAACCACAATCACCAACTATGACAGTATCCGGTGACATGGCAAAATCTACCAAGAATGAAAAGAAAAAAAAAAAAAATTAAAAAGTGATTCTATTATATAACTTATAAGTCAGTATGTATACTCACCCATCTTTTCCATAACAGATTTCATGCCTGCTTCAAAGTCCTGTATATTGAGGCATCAGAAATGCAACAAAGATAAGATTTTTTTTTATGTATATAACAACTTACACTGAACATTATTATGGCAGAAGGGGATCTGCATCCTGAAATAGAAGTTGAGTACTCCCTAATGTCCATCACAAATTTGTCTATCATTACAGCTAGTGGTTCCTGATAACATGTATGTATCCTCTCGTTAATTTTGAAAGAAAAAGAAACATATCAAGATGATTATAGATTCAATGCCTTGTTCAACAAAGATGAGATCATGTGATTTCTTGCCTCAATTTCCTTTAGAAGTGGAATTGCTTCGACTTTTATCCCTGGTAGAAATCCAACAATCAGCATGATTGCTCTATTTGCACTCTCAGATAGAAGTAGAGGAACACCTGGATCATCATCTTCTTCCGTAAGTTCCCACTGAATCTGTGGATTGTTGAAGTCATTAGTTTGTTAATCCCAGAGAATCACAAGTACTAAGTTGACATTTGGCAATCAATTTTACTTAGAAAAATCAAATTATGTAAGTAGAAGACAGAGTAAACCTCTTTGAATTCGTCAGAAAAGACATCCCTTCCTATGATTCCAGATGGAACATTAGTAATGACTGGAACTTTGGACCCTAGTTTTGCAGTAATCTGCATGCCATTCATGGAATCAATAAAATTTTCAAGTATGCAACGAAGTATTTCTATCCATTTCGAGGAATGGAAGAAGACAGCATTCTGATTTTTTATGACAAGCTGATGATTGATTACTTGAAATTGATATTGTTGCACAATAACATCAAACACCAGCTCATTCACGGTTATAAAGTTTGATGTAGTTCATAATTCTAACATCAATTCTGTGGAAATGTAACACGTTTGACATCCAATGTAAAATAGTAGAATTTCTATTTGTGCTGGAGTGTGGACGTGGCTAAAAGGTGAAGAATAACATACGAGTAGGTGAGCCTGGTGCAAATCGAACAAAGGACCAACAGAAGCAATGGCAAAATGAGGACGAATCGGCTCTGATAGTACTTTATTCAACACGTCTTCGACAGCAACCTAATGATAATTGGGGAATAACATTAAAATTGTCTGATGACACGATTTCGGTTATAGTTAATGATGTTTATAAATTTTAGGGCTTGAAATAAGGTACCTCAAGAGAAGAACTAAAAGAACAGGCGGAGGAGAGCTTGGGGCGACAAAGGACGCGATCGCAAACGAGGTTCCAGGAGCGGCTAACGCAGGCAGCGGAGGCGAAAGAGAAGGCCGGAAGCCTAGCGACTATGTTTTGAAGAAGGTCTTCGCCGATGAGATCAATAGTGGCTGCGATTCCACAAGGCGGGGTTGTCCGCGACGTCGACGGCGATGCCATTGCGGTGCTTGATTGTGCTATTTTGCCGATGGTAGTGGTGTTGTGGGTTTCGTACACTTTCCTCTACCGCCCGTTAGCCCTGTGGTGCACCCAACCTGTTCAGGAGCTCGTTCGACTCTTATCGGCCCGTTAAAGAAAAAACGCTAGCCGATAAAAAATAAAAAATAAAAAATAAAAAATAAAAAATAAGAATTACAAAAATGGTTCTATGATTAAGTGAAATTGTTATTTTTGACCAAAAAAAAATATTTAGACTTGCATGAAATTATTTTATTGCTATTTTGGTCTCAACTCTATCCGTTAAGATTCATTTGACTTGTCAAAAGAAGGGTATTTTCTTTATTTTACTCTTTTTTTTTTAATTAATAAAACCCTCATATGTTTTACTCTCTTTTTTTTACTCTCTTTTTTTAATTCATAAAACCCTCATATGTATTTCCCCCTTACCGTCGTATGTATAAATGCATCGCTCGTACTCGCATTTATAGTTCTAATTAGACAGTTAGTCGATTCAACTTCTTTCTTTATTAAGTGAGGATCAAGAACCCTAACCCCATTTCCATTTTGTGAGCTTCGATCAGGCAAGTTGATCAGTTAATGCAAGCACCAATGTGGAACGTAAGGTTGTATAAGAAACCATTCAACACAAGGGTGGCATATAGTTCGTAATTTTATTTTGGTCACTAAGTTGCATTTTTATGTGAAATCCTCTCATGTGAAACATTTTTTTTGTTCTTGTTTTGAAGATGGACACCCTACATTGTTTACCATCAAGCTACATACTGGGGATGAGTTCATAAAGTGTCAAGATGTCAACTACATTGATATGTGACATCCTCATTTTTGCAGTCAGAAAAAACTGATTTTTTTATATTTATTAAATCATAGTACTCTTTAAAAAATGTTAATTATGCGGAATTTTTCCAAAAAACATGATAATAATATTATCAAATTATTTCCAAATAAATGTGTTTTATTTATATTTTAACATAAACTCGAGATGTCATAATTGATACAAGAAACATAAGCATAAACAAAAACTCACTACATTTCATTACACTAATGGTGTACATCTCCTTGAATCTCTCAACAGATACACACATCATTATCCCTATACAATTACAAGTGATTCAAAGAAACTGAGTGGGTTAGATTGGAAAACTTAATGAGTACATTGGGTTTTCAACCCACAATACTATAATCTTTAATTATATATTCGTCAACATTTAAATAACCCTATTACCACACTCTCGTTATTCTCACTTACTAATCCTAATATGATGATTTCAAGGGATCTTTCTTAAAGGACTCTCATCAACAGACAACTATAACTCCTATATGATTAGGCACAGTAGTATGATAATACTTTGGGTAAACACAGCAACACCGCAATATATTAGTACTTTAGATGGTCACGGCATGCACGACAGTACAATAGTACTATGGTTTAGCACGACAATACAATAGTACTTTAGTTTAGCATGGCCGTACAATAGTATTTTGGATAGACACGGTAGGAAGTGTAGTACAATAATACTTATGATAGATACGGTAGACACGACTTATTATTTTGCACAATTCTTACTAACCTATCACAACTACTATCTCACACGGCTCTAGCACGACCTCTCGTTTATTATTTCACACAGCCCATTACTACCCAATCTTATTATTAAGTATGATAAAGTATAGCTAGTTTAACCAAGTAATAATTATATCATGTTGCACGTAGATATCAAACATATCAAGACAGCGCACATAGCATTTAAGCCATTAGAATACTTGTATCTATGTGTAACTTTGAAAGTAACTATGCACTCGCTTGACTTAGGTGGGTGACTGATGATCTTGGCAGAGTTTCGTCTAACACCTTAGATATTCCCTTGACGTTACCTAAGTATGATCAATACAATGTTTTAGTCTAATGATCCTGGTGACTAATAATAGTCTGGATCCTCACTAATCCCAGTGTATATATCAAGACATATCAAGTAAGGATCAACCATGCAGGACAATTGAGAAGCATGATCATTTCGGCATAATAGCTTTTCTGAAATCCAATAGCCAAGCCAACATGACCATTCTAGACATCTCCCTGGTAAGTATTGTTGGATTAGTGTCTAAGTCCATAACTATTTTGGTATGTACTTGACCCGATGGTGCATGGTCCTTTTGGGTTGCCTTCACCAAAGCAACTTGATAGGATGAATTATGGAGAGTAAGGATTAAATATGATTTGTTAATGTATTATGAGAATAATATATTAAAGGAGAAATCATATTGTTTAATTAATATTAGTCAATAATTAATTGGTAATTAGTTTTGTGACTAAAAGAGATTAATTAAACTTAAAGGACTGGAATTGTAATTATAAGATAATTGCAATTTGGGCCATGGATTGCCTTGTATTAAGGGATGGACGAATTCTAATGGGAAACCCATAAGGAAATCGTCCATGGGCTTAATTAAAGGAGTCTATGGGTTGCTTAGGGCTTAAGCATCCAAATTAGGGTTTCCTTGTTAGATAACCCTAATAGCCCAACTATATAAAGACCCCTTAAGGCTCAAAAACGTGGCTAAGCTTCTTGTAAGGGTTTACACACGTTTTTGGTAGCCTCCAACCTCTCTCCTCTTCATCCTCTTGCTTATGGTGTTTGTGAACCATTAGAGGAGTGACACTTGTGACTCTAAGCCTTCCAAAGTCAATTCAAGGAGGAATTGGGATTGTTATTGCTACATAACAATCAAGGTATGATCTTAAACCTAATTACATATTAATATGATTACTTGTATGCTAGAATTAGGGTTTATAGTCTTGGATTCAAAGCATGTACAATTTGAGAAACCTAGATCCAAGCATTAGGGTTTGTATGAGCACATAGGATGTCTTATGACCAAAACCCATCAGTGGTATCAGAGCCTAGCTTGGTTTCAATTGTATTGATGCATTGTATAACTGGAAAATCGTTTTTTTGGGCTTTATGGCTGAGGAACTCGGCGAGTACCACAGTGTACTCGGCGAGTACAGTGTGGTACTCGGCGAGTTTCGAGCGTCAGATAATGCTTATCTCGGGATTTCTTGCTGTTTTTGCATATGGATAGTTACCTTATCATGTTAGATCAATATAAATCCGATTTTATGATATGTATGACTATATTCTTGATCTAATTAAAGATAATTATCAATTAACAAGATAATTGTTTCCTTATAAGATAATTGATTAATTATTTTGAGTAAATTGATAAATTGTTTTGCAAGAAATCATTAAACAAATCAAATATGGATAATTATGTAACTAAATGTTAGTTTAGATTATTTGTTATTTGATCCTTATTGTTATGAAAAGTTTCATATTTTCCCCTTTAGGTTTTATAGTTTAAATTTGAACCCAAAAGTTTTGGAGTTTTGAAATTTAAATAGTTAAAACCCTAATGTTTTGAAAAAGGTTTCAAAACTTGCCCTCAAGTTTTGGAATTTAAAAGTTGATTAAAAGTTTAATTAGAAATGTTAAATTCTAAAACCCTAGTAATGTTTTGAAAAGTTCAAATCACACCCTTATGGTTTTATTAATTAATTAAGGAGTATAATTAAAAGAGGTTTAATAAATCCATAAAAGTTTAGGTTAACCATTTAATTGAATTAAAAGTGTAATTGTTAAAGTTAACCATATAGTATTTTAAAAGTATAAAATACACCCTATACTATATATAACATTAAAAGTATAACATTATATATATGTATGAGTAAAAGTCAGTCTTACCGTTAGTAGGCCTCATTCACGAAGCTGGTCTATAAGGGGTGTTTAAGGAAATTGCCTATAAAATGGCGATTGAATGGGTATCCACTCTTACCCACCGCACTCTTGACTAGTGGAGGGTCGTTAGCCGAACGGGTAGGATAGGACGAAACCTTCCATTATAAGTATAATGAAATACAAAGTAACTAAATGTTTTTCAAATTCCCAATCTTAGTTACTTAGGCAAAAGTGAATTGATGCAATTCCATGAAATTACACTTTGTGCCCTTGCGAAGACGTTAGTGGAGCGTGTGTGGTTTACCGGCACACTAAATGGTTCTAAGCAAAGGTAGCAAAGGGTGACTCAATGTTTGTCATAGTTCGGTGGAGCGTGTGTGGTTTACCGGCACATCGAATAGTGATTGTAACATGTGAGGGCACCATGTAGTTTGCATGGTTATTCACACCCGCTTTGTGATCCTCGGCATCCCAGTCACAAACAAGAGGGGCATATCGAGATTTAAACATGCCATTGAAATATTCAATGAATCTCAAAGGATCTAGGAGTTTTCATAGATTTAAAACTTAAATTATTTTTCGTTTTTCATGGTGGAAATTAGTGAATCGTCATTCACTTACCTTCAAATGTTCTTCAATTTGGGTTACGGCATCCCTCTCCCGAGTTGTAGAATATTGTGTTGGGTCCTAGCCTTGGAATTTCATTTGGGTGATTTACCAAGGACTCAATCAATCAACTAACTTGAATTCGTTTTTCTCCCGATGTCAAAGTTCGACAACTATGGTCTTCTCAAATCCCGTGGAACAAGCATTCCACATGAAGATGATATTCCACGATTCGATCGAGGAACAAGAAATCATGCTTCACTTCCTCCTCCTCCTCCAATTATTCTCCCTAACCCACAAGATTGTAAAAATTGAAAGGTTCAATATCACTCAAGCCCTTTTGGCAAGTAAACATAAAGAGGGCAAGTCGGTGTGTGCACACGTCTTAGGGATGAAGTCACACATTGATAAGTTAAGAATGATGGGATCCGTTGTCGGTGAAGAGATGGCTGTTGATTGGGTTCTTCAATCACTTCCTAACTCATATAGTGAGTTCGTAAGAGAGTACTATATGATGAACCGCGACGTGACCCTTATAGATCTCACCTATATGCTTATTGCTGCTGAAACAGCAATGATTTGGCGCAATAGAAAAGCAAAGTTGATTGGTGAATCTGCCTTCAAGACCTCTATGGATATAGACAATGGCAACGAAAGACATGCTATGATTGAAAATATTTATCATAAGAGAAAGGCGATGTCTGAAGTAGTTCCATGTCCTATTCTAAAAGGAGTCAATTTGCTTTTATTGCCAAGAGAAGGGGCATTGGAGACGAAGC